TATTTCTATCATATTTTTCCATGCTATAGTGCTGTTTTGGCGCTGATCATCGGATAGATATGGGCTCTGTGAAAGCTAGTGAGTAACTAGAGTAGATTACTCGATGCTGCGTATGGATTGTTTGCCGTGGTGAGTAGTGGCAGTCAGGGAATTGTCGTTCTGTGAAGGCATCATCATGGTGGACGGAGAGTGTCCTTGTAAGGAGCGATAGTGGACATGAGTTTGGTTCTACTTCGAATCGCGGGTGTTGGGTTAGGCTATGGGTTCTGCCTCACGGCGTGAACCTGGCGCGTGGGTGACAAGGTTATTCTCTCGAAGGTGGGTTGACGTGCAGGGTGCGCAACACTCTGTGAAGGCATCATCATTGGGGACGGTGAGCATCCTTGCAGGGGGTGGTTGCGGAATGCTGGGTGATCTGCCTTGAATCGCGGGTTATGGGTTGCGCTATGGGGTGTACCATTTGGTGTGCCGTGTGGGTGGTAAGGTAGTTTTGCTGTTAGGACGGTGGACGTCCATGTGTTACTTAGGATTTCTCTTCTCTCCTCTTTGCCAGCTAAGCTTCTTTCTTCTGATGATTTTAGCCTTGTTTTTGTTACAGTCTACCCTTTTCCCCCACCCTCCCACTGTTTGGTTCCCTTGAGCTGGTTTGGCAAGGATTAGGAAATGTAGCCATATTTTTCGTTCCGAATCAGTTGGAAGGTAGCTACTAGAATTCAAAGCAAGATCAGGCACCCCAAAGGAGGGTGAAGAGGTAGCAGTACCTGAAAAACTAAGGGGCAATATGGCCCAAACCAACGGATACTATCTACATCAACAAGTCACTCCTTTGTTCTCTTGTCAAATGGGAGGTTGGACCCGCTTTCCAGCAGGTGCGGCTCCCCACAAATAGATCGGAGCAACTGGATGAAATACTAGGAGAGGATGCTTTTATCACCCCTCCTAGTACTTTCAGTCCGGTTTAAAATAAAATGAAAAAAGGGTTTGCAGCAACCAGTGGTCTGGTTTTTGGGCTTGACTGATGATGTCTTGCCCATCAATGGGACCGCCTACCAATGTGTGAGGGACGACAGACCCGTTTCCTGGCTTTTGTAAAAAAAAAGGTTGAAAAAAAAAACAAAGCACATGATAGATACAGCCACCTCGCCCACGGACGGGATCCTTGCCTCACTCCATGTCTATCTTCAATCACCCGACCCCGACCATCGATCCACACCCCCCCGATCCAATGGCCCCAGTGCCTTCCTCATTCGTGGGTCATGAGGAAAGCATCAGAGCGAATTGATGTGGTCGCACCCTGTGTTACAGTACATCAAAGGTTTGCCGTAGGCACTGCACCTGGTCCTTTTCACATAACCAGCGAGAGAGGACTGGAGAATATCAGAAGAAAGAGAGAATCGGTGCCTAATGGAAAAAGGCGGACTGCTTCCTGTAGACTATCATGAGTCAAGTACGCTTTTGACTATTTTGGCTAGATTTCGCTTGTGCTTCACGGAGACACCGTCTTGCCAACCGTTGAGCTAGCTGGGCAGGTGGCTCAACAGTGAGGCTGTGCCCAATGACGGTTTTTTCTTTCAAAAGAAACAGTTTTATTTCTTTTTTCTCCAACAAAACAGAAAGGAAAAGGCCTTCACAATGTTTGCTAGACATTCCAAAAAATTGACCACTTGTGATAAGCCAAGCTCTGTACTTTCGTGGCTTCACGTACCCTTCGGAATAAACCCCGAAGTACGGATCTTGACTATTCACCAGGGAAGGCGCCCGTCTGGATTTTTTGAAGGCCATCTGCATGCATCTTTCGGGTTTGTCCCTGTCCTTGTTCAAATTAATCTCGCGCGGCCAATTAGCGACCGCGTGGGAATTTCAAGAAAACAGTTATGAATTTGGTTGACGGTCTTTTTAATTTTCTTTGATCACAGGTGTGTGCGCGCGGCCATTTTTTGAGTTCTTGCTTGCTACGCTAGCTTGTTCCTGCTTTGTGCGTGCACGCTAACCTCTGTTCTTGCTGTCCTTCGTCTCCGCGCTCCCCTTTGTCTTCCTCTCCTATCCTCCCCTGTGTCCTTCGCCTCGATTAATTGGTCACCAATCGAGAAGGTCGGATCAAGCAGTAAGAGTGAACTTACGTGTGCGGCTTGAACGGCCACCTCAATTGTGCGAAAATTTTGATCGACGTGCCTTTCTGTCCTCCTTATCTACACCCCTCGCTGCCTGCATTACGCACTGCTGCTCAGCAGCCTTCCACGCTATAAATTTGTGCAGCCCCTTCCGCTCCCTCTTTTTTTATCTCGGCTGCAATACTGCGCGAGCTACGAGTGAAGACTGTGACGCCGAGCAGGCTTGACCTTCCCAAGGAACGGGCGGAGTGACAGTGTGTGGTGGAATTAACGATAGACTTGGGGTAAGGCATTCAAAGGGACTGAGCGGTGGTGGAGACGGGAGCGTAGCCAACGGCAGGGCCTTGTGGCTATGGCCGGCTTGCGTTCGGTCGGGTATGGTGGCTGTGCATGCGGAGTGCCAACGTTGTTGTAGTTTTTGAATAGTGAGGGACTCGCTTCTTCTCCATCGCTGCTTTGTCCAAGTATCATGTGTGCTGAAGATTAAGTGTGGATACTCAGTCGTGTGCATGGCTTTGGTTGCAAGTGTCTATGGATGCTGAATGCTTCGATGTCAGAACGTCTGTGGACACATGGATAGTTGGGGATTGTGTGCTGGTCCTCATCTTGCTTGCGTGGATGGGTGCGCACCTGAGGTAATTGGGCTTCGGACGTCTACCTGAGTATATGAGTGTGTTGATTCCCTTTCTCCCCGACTAACAACCGATCCCCGCACCTAGAGCGCGTGAGAGATCATCGCTACCCTTTTTCTCCCTTCCTTCGCTGCGCGCGAGCGCCACATGTTAACTGCTTCGTTGCCTGTGCGAGCACTCAGGGGACCAGGGACATCGGCTGTGGAGGCTAAGTCATCCCACCCGATCTCTCTGCCTCCCGACCATCGCTGTTTTGTCAAGGTAACAATTTTGGGTTGGAGTCAAAGGGGGTTGGGCTGTGTAAGCCAAGTTGAGATCTAAATGGAGTCAAGGTTCCCCAATCTAAACATGAGCGCGGGTAACTGCCCGTGCTCGAACCTCACATCGATCCGCCATAGCGACCTTCCTCCTTTTCTGATCGCAGACGAGGAGGGACTTCACTGCAATGCGGATGTGTCAAAGACGTTATTGCGGACCGATCAGGTTCACTTCTACAACCCGTCTAAGGCATGTCACATAGGGGGAGCGGGGCTTGTTCTGATCGACCGGTTTGCCTCCCCGTCCTTGACTTTGCCATATACCGATTTGATGGTGCTTCCCTGGTCTGCTGCACACGCCACAGGGAAGCCCCAATTTAACTGCCACTGGTGCCCGCTAGGAAACTCGTGCAGCCCCGGTTTAACTGCCACTGGTGCCCGCTAGGAAACTTGTGCTCTTGGCGGAGGCTGGTACTGGGATACGAGGGGTCAATCAGGTTCCCGGATCTCTCCCATAACGGGCACCAGTGGCAGTTAAACGGGAGCCCTTCCAGCAACTTCTGGACCTGGGCACCTCCACTCCCACTCCCTTAGGATGACGAGGAGTCGAGCCGATGGGACGGGCTCCGCGGACCCGACTCGAATGCCTAAGGTGTCCCTTGTCTCCTTGGCCCCCATGAAACGGGCCGCGTGAACCTAATGTAGAGCAGGCGATAGATTCATTTTTTTTTCAAAGTTCTACAGTTATTTTCTGAGTAAAGATGGGTTGGATCGGTGTCCTTACATCGCCGGGGGAATTTTGCTGATGTCCTGCCCCTTTTCAGCCCTCTAATGTCTGCAATTTTGCAACTGCCCCTGTCGCCCAGTGTTTCCAGGAAAAACCGTCGGATCTAAGGCGAGAACCCCACTTTCGTCCTGGCGGTCCAACCCCCACCCAAAATCCTCGGCCACGCCCCAATTACTCTGCTCGGTGGCCTCATGGGTATGGGACGCTGCGCGGGGCGTGAGGAAAGCGTATCACACGCTCAATGCACGCAGCCAGACTCCATCTCAAAGGTCGTCCGGTTGTGCAGGTGGCTGAAAAGTCGTCACGCAGATGGCTCAATAACAATGTTTTCCAACTTTTCCTTCTTTTTTGTTTTGAAAAGGGGTATCCCCTTCCTTGTTGTGTCTATCTGATTCCATGACTACTCGTACTCATAAGCTGCTTGTTGACAGTTAGTTGTGTGTACCATTCAGTGACATGTGGATACAATACAGTTTTTCCACGTTACTGTGAGAATACAAGTCGGACATTGGGCATTTTCCGATCATGTCCCTTTAGCTTTTTCTCCCCACTGAGAGTCGTGCCACAACTAGGTCCTCCCAGCCCCTTTTGGGAAGGGGACAAAAAAAAACAGAGCCCATGCAATGAGTGCATGCCACACAATTTTTTGGCAGGGCCTAACAGCACCAGACCTCCCTGAAAATTTCATCCCAAGGGAGTTTTATCTGTGACGCACAGCATGTGCCACATACAGAGTCCCGATAGGCCCAGGTAGGGTGGGATCCTTAGAAAGGGACCGTGCCACTAGCTACCAGACTGCCCAAACATGATCAGACTCTGACCATGGTCATGGCACCATATGTAGCCACAGTTGTTGCCGTCTAGGAATGCAGGCATTAAGCCATTTGCAAGAATGTGGCCGTTAACGCGCCACATCTTTCTGGGCTGGGCCTACCAAACCGAGAAGGCCGGCCTCACCAAAATCAAATATTGTCGCCCACGTCAGTTTGGCAAAGTAAATCTTGCACTGATTCACTGAGAAAGGAAGGGGCCCTTGGGACAGCAGAGGACAGGACAATGAAGTCCAGGCTAAGGAGTTGGAGGAGACGCATAGGAACTGCCGTGATGATTACAATAACAATAATGATGATGACAATCTTGTTGTATAACTTTGGTGATGATGATGCTGACAATGAACATAATGATGAGAAGGAGGGAGCATCTCAGAACTAACCAGGGTTCCAGCATCACCAGTTGAATTCTTTGTTTCTCCAATCTTGAGCATCTCTTGTCGCAAGTTCTGGACCTCCCTCTCTTTATCATCCAGCTGAGGCAAAGACATATAACAGTCCTCATTATCAGGTCAATATTTCAAAACTGAGAACAATCAACTTAACTAAGGAAGTTGAGAATGTTAAGCTCATCAGTCGGCATTCACATGTCCACCCCAAACTAATCAATCAATGTTTTCCGTTCTTCTCTCCTTAAAACTACTAGGGTACCAAGCGGACCACTTGGGGCACCTTGGGCTACCCGGATGGCCCCGCTGCGCAAAGTCTGGGCAAAGTCCGGGACAAGCTCCCAGACAGCCCCAGCACAAAATATAAAAAATAAAATAAAATTAAAAAAAACTCCAAGATATGTTATGCCGGATTATTAATCAAACAACTACCAAGGTCCTGGACCACTCCGTGTAGCCTCGCTTTAAAGTTCAAACCACCAGTACCTCACCCAGCTATGAAGTCCGAGCCTGGGCTGACTGGTAGGCCGACCCTTGCCGAACATGAAGCTACCTGTACTTCTTGACGAGAGCCTTCCAAAAGAAGAAAAACAAACAAAAGAAAACTAAGCAATTGCACATTACTCTCTTAAAATATTTAAAAAAAAGGAAATACAACGAAACAACGGAAATACGTCTTCGTAAAAAAAAAAAAACTAAAAAAACAGGTTTCAACTCTCAAGATCTCAAATCGCACGCCGCGCGCACGCGCGCGCGCGCGCGCGCGAGAGAGAGAGAGAGAGAGAGAGAGAGAGAGAGAATGTTTCAACTCTCCCGGGCAGTCTCTCTCTCTCTCTCTCTCTCTCTCTCTCTCTCTCTCTCTCTCTCTCTCTCTCTCTCTCTCTCTCTCTCTCTCTCTCTCTCTCTCTCT